CCCCTGCCCCACTTGACAACAGAGTTCTGCTTCTCGGTGTGACCAGCAGAGGGCATGACTGGGAGTCAGGGCGACTTTTCCTGCCTGGGCTTTGGGTGGCACCACACCCAGCCCGCCTCTGGCCCCTTGGCCAACAAACATACCCCCCACCCCCAGTGTTCTCCAAGGTTCCCTGGGGCCAGGACGAGCCACTCCTACCTGACCACACGGTTGGGAATTCCACTTGTGGTGTCAGAAGCTGGGAGATTCCGGAAGCCACAAAGAGACATTTACAGCGTGAGTTTCCTGGTGAGAGTCCAAGCCAGGAAGCAGGAGAGGCTCATGCATGGAGTTGCCTCTAATTTAGGAGGTGCCGTAACTCGGCAGAAAGTCACTTTTTAATTTAGATGAAGTGGAGACGATTCTTTCTAATGAGGATTTGTAGGACAGATGCTATGGGTGGACGTCGCTTTACAGAACAAATAAACGTGCTTCTGGAAGCATGGGCGAGGGTCACATTTTTGAAGCAGAATCTTTTCAACGCAACCAGAGAGCTCTGCCAAGGTGTCTTTGAGCGAATTGTAATTTTCATGTATTGGATTTTCTTGAAGTATGGCCTTTTATATTTGGGGATAAATAGGATTCAGTTTAGGAATCAATGCTTTTCTATACTAAGAATTCAGAAAGTTAATTATTCCGCCAACAGGCTGGGTCCGGCTTCTGGGTGGGAGATCTCATATTAAAATACTCTTATGCCCCTACTGTTCTGATATAAGGAGCATGGTTCTTGCAAACGTTTTCCTTCATTGGGGGTGCTCATTGGCATTTTCTATGTCTACCACTACCCCCATCTTATAGATGAGGCAACCAGAAGTCTGATAACTCAGAGGCCATCTGGACCATAGAGTGAGGAAGAATTTGGAGAAGTTGCAGCATCTGAGGGTTTGGAGAGCAAGACCCAGCCCTCAGAAAAGGGACTGGCAGAAGACTAAGGGAGGGGTCAGTGCCCCGCTGAGCATTGGGTAGGGAGCAATTGCAGAAGAAGTGATCACTGGGCAGTAACAGAGGAGAAAGATTTTACAGGCTCTACTGTAAAGTGACAGTTATTTGACTAGTGTGGCATTGACAGGAACACACACACACAGAGAGAGAGAGAGGTCAGTGAAACAGAATGCCACGTTAGGAAATACCTGCATGTATTTGTGGGGCTTGGAATGTCATTAAAAAATCAGTGGGGGAAGAATGGCCCATTCTATTAGGTTTAAAAGCAATTAGCTACTCATTGAAAAAAATTAATTTAATCCTTACCCCACACCGTCTACCGATATAAATTCCAGATGGATTAACATAAATATTTATAGACATGTTAAAAAGCATAGGAGAATGTATTAATAGCGTTTTTCTCAAAAATAGGCATGGGAAGTAAGAACCAAAAAGGAAAATACTGATACGTTTGACTATATCAAATATAAAAGTGTACAACAAAGCCAAACAGCTCATAATTGCCAAAACCTAGAAGCAACCAAGATGTCCTTTGGTAGGTGAATTGATAAACTGTGGTACATCCATACCATGGAATATTATTCAGCACCCAAAAGAAACGAGCTATCAAGTCATGGAAAGACATAAAGGAAACTTACATGTATCAGGGAGCGAAGCCAATCTGAAAAGCCTATCAACTGTATCATTCCTGCTATATGACACTCTGAAAAAGGCAAAACATGGAGGGAGTAGATGGTTGCCAGGGATTTGGGAGGCGTAGGGAGAGAGGATGAATAGACAGAAAGGCAGATGTTTAGGGCCATGGAACTATTCTGTGTGATAGTGTAATGGGAGGTGCCTGTCACTCCACATTTGTGAAAACTCATGAAACAAGGAACATCAAGAATGAGCGCTCGTGTAAGCCATGGACTTTAGTTAGTAACAGTGTATCAGTAGTGGCTCATCCGTTGTGACAATTGCACCACACGCATGCAAGGTGTTAATAAGAGGGATATTATGGGGGTGGGAGAGGGAATGCATGGGAACGCTCTGAGTTTTCCACTCAATTTTTCTATTCTTTTTTTTTTTTTGAGTTGGAGTCTCACTCCCTCACCCTGGCTGGAGGGCAATGGCATACTCACCGCTTCCGCCTCAGCCTTCCAGGTAGTTGGAACTACAGGCGCACGCTACCACGCCCAGCTAATGTTTGATTTATTGTAGAGACGAGGTCTCACCAAGCTGCCTGGGTGGGTCTCGAACCCGTGGGCTCAGGCAGTCATCTCGCCTCGGCCTCCCAAAGTGCTGGGATTACAGGCTGAGCCACCGGGCCCGGCCTCAATTTTTCTATACATGTAAAACGACTCTGAGAGATAAAGTTTATTAATTAAAAAATGATACAATCTGTACAACAGACAGACTTAGTATTCCGGGTACACAATGAATTCCTATCAATTGATAAGGAAAATATTTTAAAAACAGAGAATTGGCAAAGGACACAGACTGGCACCTTCATAGATGAAGTCGAAATAGTTAATACATGAGAGAAATGCTCAAGCTCATTAGCAATAAGGGAAGTGTAAAACTTGAAACAATGTGGCGGTGTCACTTGTCACCACACTGTGGGCAATTTTGACATTTTATAGCATCAAGTGTCGGTGAGGATTTGGGTGAGGCTTTTAGGGGCTCCTGAGGGGGCCGCAGCACCTGTCATGGTCACCTACAACCCCCCACCCCCGACCCAGGTCTGAGTGCAGCGAGAAGTGTCCACATGAGGCTGACCTCGGCCCAGAGACGCCAGCCTCTGCGTCCTTGGCTCAGCCAGGCCGGGCATCAGGTGCTTGAAAGGAGACACCAGAGGGATGTCGGAGCCTACGGACCCAGCTCCCAAGCGCCAGCTGGCATCTCTGCTCTGGTTTCTGTGACATCACAGTGGGAGCTTGAAATCAGCCATGGGGGTGATGGTGTTTACACCATGAACATGGGCACATGCTACTACTAATGAAGTATCACCCCCCTTTTGTTCCTCTATTGATCAAATTGTTAATTATTGACCTTCGTCCATGGACATAGGTACCCTCCTCCATGCCCCCAGGCTGGGCTCCAGGACAGACCCTCATTTCATCTTTTGCTTCATCTCTGATTTCTACTCCCTGTGACCTTGTCCCCATCTTTTCTCTTGTCTCCTCTTCAAGAACAAGGGAGAGGGTGGCTGGGGCAGGGGGGGCAGGGACAGGTGCTTTCGGGACAGCACGGGAAGAGCCCTGCTTTAAGAGAATTTGGACCTGGGTCCCAGAGAAGCCATTCACTTTCTGTGTGACCTCGGACAGACTTTCACCACTCCAGCTTCCATGCTCTCACCTGTGAAATGGGAATAATCATAGTCAAGGCAACCATGTATAGCCCTGCAGGAGTGGCTTTGCCTCATCTCCAGGGAGCAGCATGCACAAGGACTATGGTGGGAATGGCAGTCTGTGGAGATGTGCAGTGGGCAACCTGAACAACAGTACATGGCCCTGATCATTGCATTTATTTCAAAGGGTCGTTATAAAGAATAAAAGACCTAATATTGGAGGTGAAGGAGTCTGACTGAGGGCTTGGCATGCAGCAGGCGCACAAGCATTGTTGGTTTCCTTCCTTCCTCCTAACATCTATCCTTGCTTTCCTCAGTACTGTATACTCCTTCCTAAGGTTAGGTCCATGCCTGTTAGCCACACGCTGTGGTACCCAGAAAGTTCTGGATACCACAGTCCACACACCCTTCCCCACAGAGAAGTGCTTTGTAATAATCCTGGCAGCAGCCTGCTTGGTGGCTCAGCCTGTAATCCCGCGCTTTGGGAGGCTGAGATGAGTGGATTGCTAGAGCCCGCAGGTTTGAGACCTGCCTGGGCAACTTGGCAAGACCTCATCTCTACAATAAATCAAAAATTAGCCGGGCATGGTAGCGCACACCTGTAGTTCCAGCTACTCGGAAGGCTGAGGCGGAAGGATCACCAGAGCCCAGCAGGTCGAGGCTGTGGTGGCCGGGAGCGTGCCACTGCACTCCACTCTGGGCGACAGAGTGAGACTCCAACTCAAAAATGATAATAATAATAATAATAATAATAATAATAATAATCCTGGCAGCTCATGCCACCAGCCCCCATGGCTGCCTCGCCTCATTTCACCGACTTCACCACACCCACCGTCACTCTCATCTTCAGGGCCATGAGGCTGGGAAGCAGGGGCGACATGCCTTGTGCAGGGCCACTCGGAGAACAACATGTGGTGGAAGAGAATTCCACTCGGATCACTGGGGATCAAAGTTCTCCAGCCAGTGGGCTCGTGGGCTGCAGAACAAGCCTGTCCTAGGTTCCCCCACACAGACACACACGTATAGAAATGAAAAATTCACAAAGCAGCATTTTCTCCCTGCTGCATTTGATCATAGCCGATCGTTCCAGCCCATGCCACATTTCATTCTTTCTTATTTTTATGCTGGTTGCATTAAAAATCCATGAAATGGGTTTCGTGACCCCTGGTCTAATGTGTCAAGACTTGCAGCTTGAAATACACTCTCTAGGCTGCTTCTCCCAGGTGACCTAACACAGGTGTCAGCCAAGGGCGACTCTTGGGCTAAATCTGGCCCGATGCCTGTCTTGTTAATAAAGTTTTATTGGAACACAGCCACGCTCACTCACTTACATGCTATCTGTGGCCCATTTTGTGTTCCAGCAGTAGAGGTGAGTAGTTGAGGCCGAGACCGTATGACCCATAGAGCCTGAAATAGTAACTCATCTGGCCCTGGACAGAAACAGTTGGGTGACCTGTGCACAGACCTGCCTGTGTCTCCTTTGCTTACATTTCTGCAGGGCTCCTTAGCCTGGCTTAGAAAACCACTTCCCTCTGGCTTCCCATGCTCTGTTCCCGCTGACCTCTCTTACCTGGGGTCCTCTGAGAATTCTCCCCCAGTACTTACAGGCAGGAGGCTGAGAGGCCATGGGGGGGCGAGGACAAAGCCCCTCCCTGTGTGCTGACCCCTTGTTCTGCTCCCTGCCCTGCAGGCCTCCTGGGAATGGTCGCCCACATGATGTACACTCAGGTGTTCCAGGTCACCGTGAGCCTCGGCCCTGAAGACTGGAGACCCCATTCCTGGGACTACGGGTGGTCCTTCTGGTAAGCAGCTTTTGATCATCAGAGCAGGAGCTGCTTCAGGCGCTGGAGCCCCAGGGCGTGCTGGGACTTCGGCAGCTCAGCCCAGCTAGGGGAGGGAAAAGAAGGGATGTTGGGGGGAAAGGAGAGATGGAGGGGCGTGACCTGGAGTCCAAAGGTGCTTTGAGACCCTAAGGCGTGGATAGACCAACTAGGGCCCACTGGTCAAATCTGACCCACTACCTGTTTTTGCACAGTACTCTAGCTAAGAATGGTTTTCACAATCTTAAATGCTTGAAAATAAATCAAAAGAAGACAGATACGACTTTGTGGCATGTGAAAATTACATGCGATTCAACGTCAATGTCCATAAGGGACGTTCCCTTGGAACACAGCTCCTGTCATCGTCTGCATGTTAACCACGGCTGTGCTCACCCCGCGGTGGCAGTGCTGGCTGTGGTGACAGACGCGGAAGGGCCACAGGATGTGTTCTCTGGCCCTCGGCCGACCTCAGAGGCCAGCTCTGGAAGATGGAGGTGGAAGCGGACAAGACCAAAGTCAGGCAAGCCATGGAGGCTTCTGGGTGGCCCGACGGGGTAGAAGGACCCCAGGGCGGGGCCCCAAATACAGGGGAGGGGTCAAACCTCTGAGAAGGGTGTGCCCACAAAAGGCTGAGTTTGCCAGGGTTCTTCTGCTTGCCAGTGATAGAATTCCAAGCTTACGTGTTTGTTAGTTCACAAAACTGAGAAGTCCAGGTGGATCAGCTGGGGGGGGCTCTGGGCCACGGCAGAAAAATCCACCCGCATCCATCGGAGCAAGGTGACACCTTGGCTCACGTAAAGGAGGCTCACAGCTGGGGCTTCAGGGGACGTTGGATCCAGGGTTGCTGATGTCCTCAGGGCCTAGTTGTGGTCCTCTGGATCATCTAAGCATGGCCCCCTCCACATTGTAACTCTGTCCCTGGACTGGCTTCCCTCTTGTGGTGAGACCTCGCCTCCTGAGGCCGGTACGTCCCCCTTCACACGTAGGAGAGAAAGGGCTCCTCTCTCCAACTTGACTAAAGGCCCAAGCTTCCCTCCAATGGGCTTCGGTCATTTTCTCTTTCCTGAGCCATCACCGCAGTAGGGGGAATGTCATGAGCTTATTGGCTCGGCTCAACCAGGCCCATCTCGAGCTAGAGAGAACTACAAAAATAATGGTGGAGCAGATGCTAGGTGAGCTACCACAGTGTCTGCTTCAGGTGATCAGGTGATTTCATCTGGAACTCACTCATTCTCTCCCCTTTTCCTGTCTCTGTCTCCTTTGCATTGATGGTGGCTTCATTCCCAAGCAGCTTTTCCCCAAGTGCTAGCAAAGGTGGTCATCACGCCTGGTTCTAGGCTAACTAACGTCTTACAAATGTAGTAAGACCAGCAGAGAGGCGGGACTTCTTTCCTGTATTTCCAGCTACTATCTTGGTTATGACTTTCACAGGCTTAGTTCAAGTCATGTGACCATCCCTGAACCAATGACTTAGACTCTGGGGAGACTGGAAAGCTCAATTGGCCTGGCCCGAGTCCCATGGTCCAGAGAGTGGAGTTGGTTGACCCCACCCAACTCCTTGGACAGAGAAAGGGAACATGTCTCCCAGTGGAAAATTGGTGGTGATGATGGAGTGAGCCGTTGTCAGAAGAGAAAATGTGGCTGGAAAGACAGTGACCACAGCTGTCCAATACACAGGGTATCCAGGCCTAGGCTTGGTGGCCGGGGACCATGTATCCCTTCAGTCATGTAACACATACATGCACTTACTGCTGGAGAGTCGTTCTTTTAGGAGCTGGGGCACAGCAGTGGCCGAGACAGCATCGTGACGGGGGATCAAGACTATGAATCAGTTATATTTGAGCCATGAGGAGTGGGTTTAGGGGGCAGGGGCTCACAGACAGCTGCAGAAACACAGAGGCAGGGCCACTGGCCCAGCTTCAGCTGGGAGAGCCCGCAAGAAGAATTTTCTCAGGCAACCTGGAAGAGGAGGGGATAAGTGTGCCTGGCAGAAGAAACAGCAGTTACAAAGACCCGGAGGTGAGAGAGCATTTCTAGGGAGGGTGGTCAGAATGAAGCAGGAAGGACTGTGATTAAGATGGACCCTTGCCGGGTGCCGTGGCTCAAGCCTGTAATCCCAGCACTTTGGGAGGCCAAAGCAGAAGGATTGCTTGAGCCCAGGAGTTCAAGACTAGCCTGGTCAGTGTATTGAGACATCATCTGTGCAAGAAATAATAATTTAAAAAATTAACTGCTCGGGGTGGCATGAGCCTGTAGTCCCAGTGAAATGGAGGATCACCTGAGCCCAGGAGGTCAAGGCTGCAGTGGACTGTGATTGTGCCACTGCACTCCAGCCTGGGCGACAAAGTGAGAGCCTGACTCGGGGGAAAAAAAAAGACAAGCCTCATTCCTGGCCAGGGGGGCCTCTAGCTGCTTCTCTCTGGTCTCTACTGGGCTCTATCCCCTCAAGGCCAAAGGCAATGGCCTTAAGGGACCCTGCCCGTGCACACTAACTCCATCCCTTTAAGAGCCGTCCCAAGGAAACCAGCTGAGGTGCTGGTTCCCCTTTACCGACATTTCCCCCAGCAGCTCCTTCCTGAGCCCTTGACCTTGGAAGGGTGTCCTTCCCCTAGAGCTAGAGAAGGCACAAAGGAAGGGGCTAGCATTTGTGAGTGTTGCCCATGTGGGTCATAATCTTGGGCACAAAGCCTGAGGTGGCACAGATCACAGCAGTGCTGAAGGCGGGCACTTCGTGGAGGTTCGGAAAACCCAGGCAACCTGCCTGAGGTGGTCCAGCCTGTATGCAACAGAACTGGGATTCAAACCCCAGCGGGCTGGCCCCGGAGGCCATGCTTGCAGCCTCTCTAGGGTGGTGGGTAAAACTGGACAGTGCAGGGATACGCTCAGCCCGATGGCCGACACGTGGCGCGTGCGCAGGAAACACCAGCTCTGCTTTACTGCTACTGACATGAAATGTAACACAGGCGGTCATCTCGTGTTGCCTATGTGGACGCGGAGGCTCAGACAGGTTGGGCCACTGCCCTGGGTCCCACAGCCTTAAGTGGGCACCGCCTCCTCCCCCCAGGCCTCCCTTTCTCCATCCTGGTGCTTGGTGTCTGGAGTGGAGCCTGCTGGCGTTGCCCACAGGACTTTTTCTTCCCCCAGAAGCCAGGGCCTCCCGCCCCCTCCTTGGCTCCCTCCCTCCAGGCTGGCCACCCACAGGGCCTTGGTTGGGCTTATTACCAGCCAGGGCCCAGCGTGCAGCCCCTGTTAGAGCTGATCCATTTCTCCCTGTCGCTGGGGCCCCGTAAGATGGATCAGCCCCATTTTTCATCCCTCATATTTGGGGCCTCGCCAGAGCTGCACCATGTCATCTCTCTTGTTTAATATGTGTGAGGCCATTTGTCAAAACTCTGGCCGAGAGAGAGCCTCCCCTGCTCCCGCCCCAGGAACCTGAGAGGAGACTACTGGCCTCTGCCTTCTGGCCCAGCAGGGAGAAGAACAGGCTGCAGGGACTGGGGGTGGGGGAGAGCCTCTGGGGACTCAGTGGCTTTGAGCACCTGCTTCTGAGAGAGACAGCTTAGCAGGAAGGCCGGGGTCCCTGTGGTTAAGAGTCTGATGGCCCAGGGTTCGGATCTCAACCTGACACTCACTGCCAGGCCCAGGCAGTGGGGGGCAGGTACGTGGCAACACATCCTGACTCTGACCCTCACCTGGCCAAGTCACAGGCCCTCCTCATGCCTCAGTGTACTCAGCTGTAAATTGGGGATAGCTCAGGTTTCTGCCTCCTGAGCAGAGTTTTAGTTCTCTATTGATGTGTAACACGGCACCTCAAAATCTAATGACTTAAAATAAAAATGTATTACTATCTCCACAGTTTTGGGGGCTGACTGGGTTGAACTGGGTGGTCCCTGTTGGGGACTTGGATGTCAACGAGGGCTGGAGTCTCCGAGGCATGGCTGGGGCAGACATCCAAGAAGGCCCCTCATGTCGCCGGCAGCTGGTGCCAGCTGGTGGTGGCTGGCAGCCATATTGGCTTCTCACAGCATGGAGGCCGGGTCCCTGGGGAGTGTCCCGAGAGCCAGAGTTCCTACAGACTAAGGTGGCAGCCATGGGGTTTTTTATGACCTTGCCTCAGTAGTCACAGAATGTCATTTCTGTCGCAATCTGTCGGTCAAGGTCAAGCGATGGGGCCAGATTCGCGGTGAAGCCCCACCCCCTTACGCCAAACAATGCCTGAGTGCTCACTGTGCATGGCCTGGGCTGCACATGTGTGTCTGGCCCTGTCCCCACAGTGCGTCTGTGCCCCTCTGGCCTGCAGGCACGAGAGCGGCCTCCCTCTGTGGTCACTTGCGCCTGTCTTACCGAGCAGGGCCTGGAGTGGATGGCAAGGTGGCATCCGTGCATCTTTGAATCTGCTTCCCCTGCATCCCCCTGCCCTCCCCCCCGCAGTTCCCAGGGGCCAGGGAGTAGGTCGCCAGTCCTCATCATTATTCTCCCCTTCCTCCCTGTGGTGTCCACTCTGCTCTTGGCTCCGAAAACCAGGCCAACCACCCACATACCTCACTGTACCAGTTCAGAAACGCAAGCTGCCAACACCAGCAGGTGCTCCGGCCCCAAAGTTTGCAAACTGTGATCTGTGTGGGCGCCTCGGGGCCCTGGAGATGAGAGGAACAGGAAGCTGAGGGCTCATGGAGGCAGCCCTGAGCCCTCACCCACACTAAAACCAGAACAGTGTTAGCAGACGTTATTTTTAACCTGTTTCTCTTTCGTCTGTATTTATTCATCCACTTGTTCACGTCACGAGTATTTATTGAGCACCTACTACGTGCCAGGCACTGTTCTAGGTGCTAAGGGTTAGCAGGGAAACAAACAAGGCTTGTGTTTTCATGTAGCCGGTCTTCTGGGGCATAAGAGGAGGTGACCAAAAACCAAACACGAAGGACTTCTGCTTCTGAGAAGATGGAGTGGACATACTTCTCCCTACTCCTCCTGCCGGGTGC